TCCTTGCTCCTAGTAGCGATGCCAGGAGCCCCTAGCGTCCTTGCTCCGTTCGTAGCGATGCCAGGAGCCCCTAGCGTCCTTGCTCCTAGTAGCGATGCCAGGAGCCCCTAGTAGCGATTCCCGGAGCTCCTGGTAGCTTCTTGTTCCTAGACTTCCAGTTCTGCCGTTCTGGATCGGGTAGATGGCTGAAAACGTCACAAGTGATTGAGTTTCTGCATATTCTCTTTGCAAGGTTTCGACCACCCCCAAAGGTGGTGGAGATTCTGAACAGCAGCCGTGCTCTTCTTTTCGCTGCCAAAAAGGAGCATGACGGGTTCGCTGCCGGGAAGCAGCGCCGCCGACTCTGTGAGCCCACGCCACCCTACACTCCCTGGGTCGGACATCATGACATGGATGGAAGCCTGGCCAGTCGACTCGGAGGACCCGAAGGACATCCGAAGACCAGTCCGTGGTGGTGCCCTCCACGTACCCATGTGAATGACAGACGGAGGGTACCACTGCTGAGAGGATATAATGTGATATAACATTTGGTAATAGATCAGAACATGGCGTCTGCAGCTTCCACATTGACATGGCCATCATCGCTTTTTGTCATCGCGGTCCCACTCGTGGTTCTTTGTTAGTTTCTTTTCTTTTTGAAGACACCGGACAACGGTTCAAACATCGACACCGGGGTGCGTTAGCGCTAGCTAGCTGCCCTGTCATCGCCGGTTAGACGGGGTCTCGAGATGCCCAGTCCCGAGGGAAAGCGGGATCGAACGGCGAGTCGAGTCGGCTCCAAGGATCGTCCCCGGAGCGTTGGTGCCTGGGCGAGGACCGGTGGAACACACCCCACACCGCACACTGGGCGCGGTTGGCTCGTGTGCGCGCCTGGGTTTTTCGTGAAGGACACGCTCAAGTCCACCCCTTAGAATCAGAACAAGTACCACTCCCTAGGGACTATTAAAGAAGGTCTGCGAAGAGAGCCATTCTCTCCATCTATTTTGGAGTGAAGAGCCGTGAAAGCTGAGACGAGGTATGGGAAGCCCGGCGATGCTGGCCCTTGTTTAGGCCTGAACTGCTGAACCCTCTGATGATAGATCATGTGACAATGTGGTTCAAAATGTGATTCCCCCTATCAGCCATTCCAAAGAATTGGTCCTGAGCTATCCAATGAGTGAATTCGCATCCAGGGCACCGTCGCCGTCGCGCGCCCCCTCGGCACCTCCCTGTGCGCCCGCGTGCCAACCCTCGCTCCTCCGGTGCGAAGTGGGCCGTCTTGAGACCAGGTCGGCCAGGTGT